ATTTGAATAAATACACACTTACATGTGTGCCAGTGTGCTCAAATAATGAAGTAACTGCTCCTGAGTAAAGGAAAAATGATCCTTCCCCTGAGCTCACTATATCATAACCTCACAGTAAACCTTAACCAGTAAAATGGAATTGGTTGCAGAGTTCAAGTCCTTTCATTCATATGCAGTGCCATAAACAGGATATAAATAACACAAAATGGCTGGAAAGAGACTATTTAAATCCAAAGCTCACGTTGTAGAAAACAAATTCTGCTCTGTTCATTAATTTTTATGGTCGTTGTCTTGCAGGGCCAGAGTGCAGACCGTATGGAGTCCCACGAGGAGGCTCTGAACATCCTGCAGCAGCCAATGGCTTTGGGCTACTTTGTCTCCACAGCCAAGGCTGGACCACTGCCCGACTGGTTCTGGTCGGCCTGCCCTCAAGCCCAGAACCAGTGCCCACTCTTCCTCAAGGTACATTAGCACTAGAAACTGCTTGTTGGAGGCAATCACGTTGAAGTAGGGCCACAACTAACACTTATTTTTATACAAATATACAAAGATACAGGCATTTCTAGCTGGAAAAATCAGACACAGGCTAAATAAGTCTTCATTTAGCACTAGTGATGAGACAAAATACTATTTAAATACTGTCTGCTTAGGCCTGTATCTCATAGTACTCAGACAGGAGGTGATGTGTGAATGATTCTAAAGACTTATATTTAATTTGTATTTCCATCTTTTTTTTTTTTTTCCCAGGCCTCTTTGCACCTGCACGTGTCTTCTGTCCAATCAGACGAGCTTCTCCACAGTAAGCACTCCCACCCCCTGGACTCTAACCACACCTCTGATGTGCTCCGGTAAGCTGATCTAATCCAAAGAGTGTGTAAACTTGAAGAACTGTTTGTTTTTAAAATGAAGGAGAATGTCACACATTAACACTGCTCCGTCTGCCCCTCTACACGATAGATTTGTTCTAGAGCAGTACAACGCCCTCTCCTGGCTGACGTGCGACCCTGCCACCCAGGACCGACGCTCCTGTCTGCCCGTTCACTTTGTGGTGCTCACTCAGATGTACAACTTTATCATGAACATGCTCTGAACTCTAACGGGATCAAACTGCTGAGATTTGATTGGATGGATCGCTCAGTCGAATCGTGGATTTCCTGCTACGACGAATCCCCCAACACTCAAAGGACCTCACACTCCATCAGGGCAAATGTGGAGGAAGCATCCCTCCTCCTCCTCCTCCTCCTCCTCGTCCTCCTCCTCCCTGGTGTATCTCACACAACACTGACTGACTGGAAGTTTCCAATCAATCAATCAGATGCCAAGAATCCATTTTAGCATTTTGGAAGATCAAGGGACGTTTCATAAAGGAGAATAAATTGTCTTTTTAATGACTGTAGATTGCAATCTATGAAATTTTATCTTAATGAAATGCCTGCATATATTATTTATTGTAAGTTTTTAAATGTGGAATTTTTAATGCTTAATATCTTTTATATATTACAAATCCTAGAGGGTGTGTACATCTCACTGTAAAGGAATTGGTTTAAAAAGTGTAATTTTCTCAATTACAACATGGAAAAACCTGTTCAAGTGAATTTGCTGTAGATTGCTTTTAGAATATTATTTTTTCAAAGGGTACAGACCTTTTTATTGCCATGCTGTAAAAATGAAGTAAAAGCTGGCCTGGGCATTTGTGTCCCACCCAATGAGTGGATGAGACTTACCTCTCTGTCTGCTTTGGCTCCAGAGTCTCTCGCACAGTAACTCAATGAGCTCTGAAGAGGAATTAAAAGGTACATTGTCAGATTATATATTTTATATAACAGATTTAGGTAATTGTGTGTGTATATGTGTACATATAATTGTGTGCCGCTACTGATGGTGCAGCTTCTGTTTTAGGAATAAAGTGCGTCTACCTTATCCTCTTTGTTCTTGTTGGCTTGTTTTTGACAAGTTTGAACAGGTTTGGGTAAATAAATATTTCTCCTCTTGAAACAGGACTTCAGCAATTTAATATTACGCTGCCGTTAAGACTTTTAAAGGGTGTTTTATAGGTCAAGCTCCAAAACACTGAAACTACACTTCTTCTAATGCAACTTTGTAGCATCATTTATTAAACAGTCCTCGCCTCGTTGTCTTTAATTCTATACTACATGCTTGTTATACACAGTACATACAATATTCTTAATGTCTTGGCTTTAGTATACAAGAAATCCACATACTTTTACACAAAAAGAACATTATGCAACACATGCACTGTCAATCAAACTGTAACTCCAGGAAGCCACTGCCAATTCAACTTCACAAATAAGAAGAAAAATCTCTATTCAGATTTAATACTTTTTATTTTCCCCAATACATTTTTGGGGCCGTTTCACCACAAGTTATTTGTCTCTTTTACAGATGTGAATGGTTCCTTTGAGTATTACATTGCAGCACAATATTGGACAACAGTTTGTTTTTAGTATGCATATTGACTGTTTTGAGGACATTTACTTGTTAATACACACTACATTCACATTCAGTTAAACATCTGTAGTCTCCAAGCCAAAGTACTGTTCTCAGGGTCCCTTGGAGACAAAACTGCTACAATAGTGAATTGATTTTCACGTGTAAAATCTGTGATATTTGCCTTTTTAACCTTCCGTAGCATCGTTACAAAACATGTTATTAAAAAAACATGCACAAGACACAGAATTTTCCATTTGACGTAATGGTGAAGGCATAAAAATGGTGTCTGGACATACAAAAGACACAGACGTCACTCAAGTTACAGTATGTACGTCATCCATCTTCAATGAGGCACAACAAGAAGCAGATAATGTCAGACTATGAAATAAGAACAGTCTAAAGGTACTTACAGGATATAACTCCTTTTCTTCACAGAAAGAGAGCAACATTACTTCCTTCTACAGCTCTATTTATTTTCTTACTGCTTTATATTTGTATGCTCATGCTACAGAAACAAGATCATCATGATCACTATGATCTTTACTATGTATATATACTATATTTTTGTCACTTGTAGAGCCTGACCGATGTCGGATTTCTGAGGCCGATACCCTGACTGATATTTGAGAGTTAAAATATATGATAACAATATATGATATCCTTCAGTTTATTTATTTATTTTATATAGAATTGTGACCAAATATGTACTGCACAGGACATTTTACAGTCGAAATAGAAAGCCGTCAGTGCACTCTGGTGATAGAACTATGTAATGGCGACACTTTCTGAAATACCTCGAATACATCTTTGGCATTTCTGTGCTGCAATTTCTTTATTAGCAGGAATATTTTCATTTGTGATTCGGTGAATTAGGAATTTAAGATACCAGAACATCATTTTAATAGCTGTCCATGAACAAAGTGAGACTACAGTGACTCCCATTGTTTGAGAGGCTGTTTAAAGTTGTCTAATAAGTCTTGGCATGTGACTGAATTGTGGGTTATAAAGGGTAATGGTTCGTGGCCGTGTGAACACTGTTCCTCGACGGAGCAGCGGCTTTAACTCTGACTATACTAACAGGATTTGGATGGTTAGTGAGAATGGAATTAGCTAATCAAGGAGAACATGTCATCCCAAGGCCTCATCCAATCACTGTCTTATGTTCTGCTTAATGGGATCCAATTGAAGGGTAGCCTAATTTGTCTGGGGCCATTCGGGACAATGAGTTTCAGCCGGATCGCGGAATTTAAAGAATCTGTTTAAAGCGTTTCATCAGGAAACCCAAACATGGGAGCTATATTGAGTGTGTCTGTGACCAGCATATGTTACGTTGATTGTGTTCAGTGTCTCTGTGTGCTCCACAGTGACCTCACATGCTGCTTGTGGCTCAAAAAACGAACCTCCTGTTAGTAACATATATACAATAACACAAAATAAAACAACATATATAGTTATTTATAGACATATATACATAAATATATACACCCAGAAAAAAATCTACATACTGTAGACTACACACCAGAGAACATAATCTAGTGTCTTTAGTAGGTTAAAAGACCTTTAAATTTGAAGTAGAAAAAATATATGTCTCTGCTCCTTTAAAATGTAAAAAAAAACAATAAAAAAAACTCATCATTCTTTATGCTCAACAACATTAATTGCATCTTACTCTATGTTATCCTGGTGAAACAGGAACATGTGTGAAAACAAAACAGTTTATCCATCCATCAATCTTGTAAAACAAAATGTTTGCTTGATGTTTGCAAAGTTTAATTCACATTTTAAAGTTGCAGTCTAATGAATGTCCATCAGTACCTTATTGCATAATTTCATTTTAGTATGAAACTAAAATATATTGATTTCTTGTATACTAACTGCTTTCCAAGATACAGAAACTAAAAATAAATGTACTATTACTTATGTAATAAATATGTAAGTAAGTAACTGTAAAAGTTGTTGTGTGCCAAACTATTTATTGATATTATTTATTGGAATGTTTCTGGAAATGCATTAAATAGAAGAAATAGAAGAAAATAGTCTGTGTAAAGTAATCTGTTATGTGAGTTTCTGAGTTAACTTACTTGGTGAGCTCAGTGCAAAAGGACAGACAGGACAACATTCAACAAAGCATACCAATATACATTAGAACATATTAAAATGCACAAAGTACAAGAAATACAACAAATAAGAGAAAAAGAATATACCTAAGTATGTGCAAAATGGTTTCATATAACCTAAACATATCAAAAACCATAAAGTAAAAATAAAATGAACTTTAAAGAGCCAGTGTCACATTATTTAGTGCAGACATGAACGGTTTGGTCACTTGGCATTTGGAGACCTGTTTGTTTGTTTGTATGTCCAACTGTCTCCACAGCATCTATCTGAAAATCTGTCCAGTTGCCACATAAGCTGTCTTTCTCTAAACTGAATCAGAAGGGTTTAGGGGGCTGATGGGATTACTTTAAGCCATTAGGAGTAGTTAATGGTCTTTCCTGGTGTTGGTAAGTAACACTGACTAATTGACCAGAGCCAGCAGACAGCTGACACTGGCCCGCAGCAACAGGTGGTCCCCGCAGCACTGAAGTCACTGTCCAGGACCTGCGGAGGGTATTCTTCGTCCTATCAGCTGAATGGACTGACACGGTTAATGTGGCTGATATTTAACTGAAGGAAATGACATTTTAGAAATCTTCACTTTGTTGGCTGATAAACAGGCCGGAGGAGCTGGACGTTGTTCACTGGATAAAAACACTTAAGCATCAGGAAGTCAAGATTTTATATCCACTTCATAACACAGGTAAGGAGCATGTTTATAGAATAAATGCATTTGTTTTTTTATCAGAATAGAGAAACACTGCAGCATCACATAGTGAGATGGGTGCCTCTATGACAGGTAAACAGGTTTTTTTCATATGTTTCAGTCTAAGTAACTTTAAAAAATTTAAATAAACATACAGTGAAGCTTTAATTTATATTGTATCTAGAGATACAAAATTACTTATTTTTTATTTTTATTCTGCTGATATTAGTCCATGTGCAACAGTTTATCCATTTAGGACTGTTTACATTGGTGTTAACGGTTTTTAATGAATCATTTACCAAATTAACTACCAAATTGTTTGGTAAAGTGTAAGAAAATGACAGTAAAATTCCAAACACTATTTTCCAGAGCCTGAGGCGATGTCTTAAATTTCTAAACCCAAGGATATTCAGTTTCAATCATATAAGACCAAAAGAGAAAGAAAACTTGAAGCTCGAACCAGTTAATGTTCACAATTTAGCTTAAAAATCACCAAATCGTATCAGAATTCTTACTGATTAATTGTCTAATCAGTTTATTTGCTGCAGTTTTAAATTCTTAAAGAAATATTCAAGGTGTAAAATGCATGTGTTGGATATTAGTGTGCGTTTTAATTACAAGTGTTTCATATGAATTGATATCAGTTTGATACGTCTGACACCTGAGGACTACTGAGAATAAAAAAGGCACCAAGTTGGTTCTAAAGTATTAAGATTCAGCTGATGCAGGATGGAGCATGTTTTGCCTTAGAAGTGAGCACTGGTGGTCTCAGTGCCCTCAGATGACACAGCAAGCTGTTTCTGATGCCTCATTCACTCTGTTTGTGCTGCTAACAACCATCTCCTTTATGAGATTAAGAGATTTCTGTGGCACGCTGACATGGACGAAATTTAGAGAACACAGGATGTGTAACCTCCAGCTAATCTTGTCTTTATGAGAAAGGAGGGATCAGGCTATTGGATTGCTGTGGCCTAGAGAGGTTAAAGGGGCAATTGAAGAGATCCTTCATAGAAACGTTTGGTGAGTCACAGAGAGGAATCAACTCTGGTCTTTAATTTAAATGCAGAGGAGGAGGATTTATAATTATTATTTACTCTCAGTGACCAAAACCACAGACAGAGGCTAAATATTATCTTTGAGAAACCTTTGAAATGTTTAATTGTCTGACACAAAGGTTTGGATTCAAAATCATTTTAGAGGGTTTATTTGTGATGTATTGGATTCCATTATATTGTAAGGCACTCCTGTCATTTTAATAATCTTATGAAGATAATTAGACTGATTCATCTGCAGATTATTGTAAATTATTTATAAAATGTCAGAAAATTCTTTGAAAAGGATTGTAACTATTTCCAAAGTCCAAGGCGAATGTCTTAAAATGTCCAAAATCCAAAGAAACTAAAAATCCTCACATCTGAGTAGCTGAAACCAGAGCATGTGTGGGGTTTTACTTGAAAATGTAAACAAATGATCATTTGTCAAAATAGGTGCCAATTGATAATCTGACGACAAACCAATCGGTTGCTTTAGAGACTCAAAATCCAGCAAAAGTCCACTTTATATTCAGAATCAGAAGCTTCAATAAATGCTTAAAACTCTTTATGTATCTCAGATTCTTCTCGGAAGTCTTGTTCTCTTCACTTGTATACAGTAAGAACACAGTAAATCCCAGTGGTAGCCTCTTCTCTCTATAGTTTAGACATGCTGCATATCTCAGTGCTCCCCATTCACTAACAGCATTACTAATCATGTGTCCTTGGAACGGATAGCTCCTAAATGAATTAAATGGATTGGCACACTGAATGTCTCAATTGGATTACCGTCAGTAATGCAATCTAACAAGATATTGTCATTTGCATGTGATTTGCAAGGCAAATTGCCTAAAAAGAATTACGATTAAAAAAAAAAAAAATGTACGATTTACATTCTTAAAGAAATGTACCGAACCTATTGATTCAAGTTCCTCAAGCTCCAAAACACACCCCACAGTCTGGTACAACCAACAGCAGTCTCGGTTACATTCAAACATTTTTGCCCTGTTTCTACTGTTTAAGTTAGTTGAGTTAAAACATATCTTTGTTCAAACTGAAGGTTTGAACAAAAAAGGTGTTTATTTGTGAGGTTTTCAAACCATGAGGGAGAGACGTGAGACTCAGGCAAAGATAATGTGTAAGGGTCAAATGGACAGGTGCCCGAAATTTCTTCAAAAATGGCACTACTTCCTGAGCACACAGACAGGATAATGCTTTTGTAAATTCAGAATGACTTATACTTACACACAGATAGCTTTATGTCCAATGTGTATCATAACACATAAACGGCCATTAATCTGCTTAGAAAATCACAGGTAATCCTTATTGTAACTGCAGAACTTCCCTAAGAATCATCATGTTTTTAAGTTTTCACCAGTATCTAAGAAAACCAGTGATAGTTCACCAGTGGGTACATTGCACACAGGAACTGTTAATAGCCGATTTGGCATACGTTTAATGGAGCCAACTTGCCAAAATGTAAACAAATATAGGCTAAGAAAACAAGGCTCAAGTTGTAGCCCACAGCTGAATTGACTGAATGAGTTATCCAACCTGCTCAGAACATGAAAGCACACTTTCTTTCCTTGTATCTCAGCAGTCCGCTCCATATGTTCACTGCCTGGTTCATCAGCATATCCAAATGCATCAGCACACTCACCCGCATGCCTTCCCTCCCACCCTGCACCAATCCTTGACCATCCTACCTGCTCCAATGGCATCTCAGGACAATAAGGTAAGGTGATGTGTCACAATATTGTATTATTAACATTTAATTAGTAGCTAGATTAGATTTTTTTGTTTTCCATCTGAAGCCACTTCTGACCTGAATATTTAATATAGTAATAAATAATAATACATATAATTTCTGCAAGGTCATATGACCATTTCCTTCTCCCATTTTTATATAAAGCCACCAATAATAAGTTAAAGGCGTTACCTTTACCTCTTTCTACAGTTCAGCACCCACCTTCCCAGAGGAACAACAAGACCCTCTTTTGCTCCTGTCACTGCCTTTCACAGAGCAACACAGAAGTCCTTCGGGTCAACAGTGAGTCCAAAATGCAACAATCAAAACTAACTGCTCAATACAGCAATTGAAATGTAGAAACATATGAGTGAAACTACTGCCTTACTGCCCTACTTCTGTTTCCATTTAAAACAGTTTGTTAATCAGTGTTTTCACTTTGGTCTTAGAAACGAGGGAAATGGGGTGCAATGCATGTCTGCATTGCATGGAAGATTTATTACCACGAACAACTCAAGGTAAAACTCATTATTTTGCTTTTTTTTTGTGTGAGATTACTGTCAGTTAAACACACTTTCTTTAGTTATCCATATAAAATAATAATAGTATCTAAATTCTGATTGCATTTGTTTTATAATTTGTCTTATTAATAACAACAAAAGGAGATTTACAAACATTGTTTTAAGGAGCTGCACATATAGTAAAAATTTTATACATTCTTCGAGCTCATTAGTCTGGAAAACGCTGATATCTCTCAGTTACATGTTCTCATTGGGAGTTTTATACTTTTGTATCTGATTTCAAAACTAATTTGTGCTTTACAAACTGTATTTAATGCATAATTAAACAGAGAACACAGCAAAAGCCCAACAGTGTCTGTCGAGATCTGACACCCGAGTATCCTGCCACCAGTCTACATAACTCAGTGCAACTCAAGGAATCAGACCAGTCCTCCTGCATTCACCCAAATCTGGGTGAGTCTTAAGACCAACAGTATAAGAAATTCTTATAGCAACAGTATGATACAGTATGTGTGATATTATTAAAACTCATTTGCTTCTGATTTTTTTAGACTCTCCACGTGGACACTCGGGAAAAACAGCCAAAAATGAAAGAGACATGAACACAAGTTATCCCTCTGACCTTAACCCACGTTCACCTTGCCACATCCCTACGACCAAGAGGGAGAAGCTGGAACAGGCCCAGAACCTGCACCCTGAGAAGGAGAAACACGGGTGCCAACAAACTGACACAGCGAAAGACACATCTTGGGATCTAACAATGACTCCTGAACTTCACGGGAGACAGAGCGGCTCGCGTGGCAGAAAAAGGCAGTTTGAGTGCGACGGCTTCATCCAAGTGAAGAGGGTGAAGAAGGAAGTTACAGATGACCAGTTTGATTCTTCAAAGACTTTGCACACTGATCCAACTTATACACATCCATCGTCACACACAGTACCAGTGCAACACATAAGTGATCTGCATCCTAACAGCAGATTTAATGTCACCAGAATTCCTGGGGGACTCATCTCTTATCCAGCAGCTGAAGTGCATCCCTACCAAGCTGCTTCATGGGATGCAATGTGGGACGTTCACCAGAGAATGGATCTCCACTCTGGACAAAATGTCCTAAAAGACTATTCACAGAATACCTGCAAGGCGATCAGGATACCTCTTGTAGCGCAGAGCCAAATAGAGGCTTTTCATGGTTTCTTTGCGCCACCTCTTTATTTACCTCTTGCTTTGAGGCAGCAGGACACCGTTTACCTCAGAGGGAGGGAGTTTCTACAGCCGCGCTACGACAACTGTCATCTCCACCGCTGCAGACATCAGCTCTCTCATCCCGGATTTCTGGCAACACCCTATCTGGGGCCCTGAGCAAGAAAATGAAAGCAGCTGTACCCAAAACGACAATCACTCATTTACAGTACGTCTGTTAGGTTCAGTGGTCATTCTGGTCTGTGTATGAAGTCAACAGAGCTCCACAATGTCCAACATATGGAAAAAAAACATCGAAAAAGGGAAGCTTTTGATTAAAGTCTCAAATATTAATAACAGAAGATACTCTTTGCCCTGGAACAGCTTTAATAAGGAAATTAACATTATTAATAAAAGGACATATTTGACATCAGTGTCTTAGAGGAACTTTGCAACTGTGCAGTCATGCTTACACTGTATTGATTCCCTCATTGATTAAATATGTTAAGATGCATGTGCTTGCTCATATTAATGTTAAGTTCACAATAAACTATTTGGAACATGAAGTGGTCACGTGATATCAATGCTCTTGTTTGTAGGAAGAAAAAGCAAAGATTTTTTTTTTTTGTAAATCTGCAAACCTAAAATTGAATGTGGCCGAGTTAAAACACGATGGGCTCATTGTTACCTTACACAGCCATGCTAGTTTCTCTAAGAGGCTCCTTTGGCACAGCAGTGCGTTGAGCTAAATGCTCACAAGGTCAATGCTATCATCCTGATGTTTAGCATGTATAATATTCTCATATATCTCATTATAGCTGATGAGATATTTCTGTGAGGACCAAAGCAGTGGACCGACCAACAGTGGTGGCAGAAATACGCAGATATCTTACAAAAGTATTAGCATCAAAATATACATGTCAGAATAATGCATATTATTATTATTGAATTATAATTACTGATGCATTAAAGCTGGGGTAGGCTGTTTTTGTTTTGGTGTCACTGGGAAAAAATTCCATAGTAAGCTTTCAGCATATTGTAATCCAAGAGGTCTGAGACTGAGGAAACTAGTCCTCTGCTCCTCCCTTATATAAACTGTCAATGGCGCCTCCTCTTGGCTGTATTCAGGCTTTAGAAAATCTAGCGAGTGATGGGAGACTTGAATCATAAGTCATTTTGAGGAGAGGGCGTTCCTATTGGTTGCACATCCATTCAAATGGTGAAAGCTTGATTCAATGGCACAACCTGCAACTTATTTCCCATACCTCCTTTGGCGTATAGTACAAAACATACCACGGTGCTCTTGTGGCAAAGAGGCGTTACGAAAAACAGTGGGCACAGTGGTGTGTGTGCGTGTGTGTACGTACTAGCCTCTCACCCTGCTGTTCTGCATCGCAGCTGCTTCTGAAGGCCGGGATACCCCACCATGGGGCTCCAAAGCACTGGAGGGGCATCTATTAGAAGAAGAGTCGTGATGACCTGCCCGAGAGGTCTTCGTGAGGCTCAAGCCTTGGAGAGTGGACCCTACGAGGGATGAAGTTTTGTAGGGACTCCTTCTGCTGCCATTCAAACTGGTGGTTTAGATGGGAGGGCTTTAACGGAGTGATATGAGACAGCAGAGAGAGGCAGAAGGTGGTGCATAGGTTTGCACAGGTTTTGTCTACTGCAGCTTTAATATGGACATTTAATGTTGCAGCTGGTAAAGGTGAGGCCAGTAGCTTGTGAATTTCACCAAGGATCAATTAAGTCTCATTTCAACCTTTAATAATAAATCCTAATTAATTTGCTGACTATATTTTGTATTATTAATCTGAATCTCCAAACTAACTAAAGGTTTCAAATAAATGTACAAAAACGAAAAGTTTAGTTTTGTATCAAAAATGTATTTAAACTTTGTAACAATAAAATTAAGCATCATTCCAAGGCTACAATAAAAAATAATGTCTTATGAAATTCTTCATCGGGCAAGATCATGGAAATATCACACAAAATGGAGCATTGCGTGTAAAACACATACAGAACAACATTACATAGAACTGGCTTTGTAGTGCTTTAACTCATCTCCTTCATGTAAACTGTCAGAAACATCATTCACAGGACACGTCACAAAGCTAAGCTGAGGCATTTAGCTGATATAATGAAAGCGTGGTCTCCAAAACCAGTGCAGAGATCTCAAGTAATACCACAGTAAAAACAGACCATGAGAAAGCCGGTGACACCTCCACGGCAAAATATACAAAACAAGCAGACCAATTCAATTGCATAACAGCTACAAGGGAGCCCAGAATGGATGCATGGTGCAGTGAAGTGTGGAAGAATCACACCACGTCCATGCCCAGGCCCCTCGCCACCTCCGTCAAGGCCTGGACCGCTCCCGATGTCCCACTACCATCACAGTCCTCCAGAGATAATCCTCCTGGCTCCTCCTCAATGTGAGGGATGGTGCTCATGACACAGTAGACAGGAGAGTCACTGCCTCTGGGGCTGGGCTGAGACGAAACGTCTTCACCTCCAGAGAACTCCGAGGAGTACGAGGAGGAGGAGCTGGAGGAGGGCGAGGAGGATCCTGCAGGGGAGCTTCGGCCACTCTCTGGCGTGACCGCGTCCCTCTTGTTCCGACTGCTGGTTCTTTGACTTTTCCGAAGGCTCTGCGGCTTTTTGGCCATGTTCTTCATGATCTCCTTTGTCACTTCCACAGTCTCAAAACGCACCATATTTACTTTTAAGAAGCCATCCACGTCCTTCCTGTATCTGTGAAGAAAGTAAATACATGTTTGGTTTTACTTGATACATATATACAATCACTTTAATTACATCTGATGCAACCCTGATGACGGGGAAGTCAAGTGGGTCTAAGAAACTGCTGTTACCTAAAGCGGGAATGTCCAGACGGCCACTTCAGCTCATGCTTCTTGCGAAGGTGAAGCGTGAGAGTGTAACACCAGGAGAAGACCTTATCACAGATATGACATTTATATTTGGACATCCCTCCGACCTGTTGGTAAATATTATGTAATGACTTTAACATCATAACGTTCAACAAGATTACAGCACGTTCTAACGATGATCTAAAGAGGTTGTATGCTTAATGTCGGCACTAACGAACCTCGTGCACTCTCTTGAAGTGGTGGCTCATGGTTTGGAATGTGTGACAAGAATAATCACAGCCCTCCACTGTGCAGTGATACACGGTGCCCTCATTGTGAACCTCTGTGTGCTTTTGTAGATCTCGCTGGTTCTTAAATCTGTAAAACAAGAAAGACGGAAAATATGACACCATTTTATGCTGCTGATATGAGTCCAATACTGAAACAGTCCTTAAATACTACTTTACACAAAGGTTGCGTTATAATTACTAACATAATTTGCTCACAATCTAATTTGCAAAAAGTCTTTTTCTTATTTTATAGTATATTTCATAGATAGAGTCCATACAAATGTACTGTCAAGTACATTACTACCTCTGGGGAAAGACGTACTCTTCACTTCAGTAAAAGTAGCAATACCACAGTGTAGAAATACTGTAAGTCCTGCATTCAAAATTTAAGTAAAACAACAAAAGTATTAAGATCAAAAGTACCAAAAGTATTAGGCAGAACAGCCCATTTTATTATAATGTATATTATATTATTGGATTATGATTATTGATGCATTAATATGTAAAAATCACATATGGTTGCAGCTGGTGAATGCAGACGCTTTATATCACTACTTGTAATGATACATTTACAATAAGACACGATTTATAGGGGTTTTACACAATGTTTAACAAACTATCTCCGAGCCTGGATTTTGCAAAAGTACAGCTGTTGAATCTAATCAGCCGTTCTGAAGGTCTACCTCTTGTCACAGAAGTCACACGGGAAGGGCCGCTCATCACAGTGGCGGAACCGGATGTGGATCTTCAGAGCTGCCAAAGTGGTGCAGGTCATGTCACAGAATGGACACTTCACCTGATTGACTGAGGGCAAAAGAAAAGAACACAAATAATTAGATACAATACCTGCCAAAGGGCTCCTTAACAACCACCTGCCACCCTTTTAACTGCAGATTATGTTAAATGTAGTTTTTGTCTTTTATTATGACATGTAAACGTGTCTGATCAATTGCAGGAATGAAGCATTTTTAAGAATTAGCATGTCAGAGAGCACTGTTACATTTTGAAAGAATCTGACATGGATCAAGCCTTGATTGATATTTATCGATCAATAATGCTTTTTTAACGTCAGCCCATATGATCTTTGAGAGTTTTCACATTGCTCCCTCTCTGACAATATAATACTGATGAGCCTCGAAAAGGACTGCCTTAACTGAAACCCAACTGATGAGTAAACAGATGAGTAAATCTTAAAAAAATAATATGGGCAGCATTGTATAATAATCTGATCAACAACTTGTATACAGTTTTATTGTTCACATCTACTTACTTTAACATGATATAATGCCATAGTTATCTGGGTGAAACTAAATATTTCAAATACTAATTGAAATGTATCTCATCATCAAACAAAAAACAATAATCAAACAACAAACAAACATTTCTTAGATTTTTTTTGTTAATTAGTAAACAAAACAAATGTAAATAAAAGTAAATGATTACCATGCTGACGGACGTGATCCCTCAAAAGCCTCTCGCTGGAAAAAGCTTTGCCACAATGTTCACATACCAGCGACTCTGTTCGAATGAGATAAATGGTAAATGGTCAGACGTATGCATTTATGCAATACATTTACCACACCAGCATCCTATAAAATATTAAATATGTCCTTCCTCACCTACTGGCTCGGCCTGCCTGTGTAAGTGGTCAAACAACTTTGTGTTGCTGGAGAACATGCTGCCACACGTGGGACAGGCTACAAGTCTCTCCTGAGTGTGACTCCGCATGTGTTCTCTCAAACGGTACTTGATTTTGAAGAAAGCATCGCAGCCTGTAATAAAAACATGACGTATAGATATCACTATGACAGAGCAGGCGACGTAAGACACACCAGGGACATCTCTTTAATCTCCTCTTTAATCAGTCATACCTGTCCAGTGGCAGAAGAGAGCCTGCTGTTGGTGTAAGAGAGACTGTGGCTCAGCACTTTCAACATGATTGTCCACATGTCGGTAGAACCACTCAGGATTGTTAAATGTACTCTGTATGAAGACAAAGAAATAAATTCTATAATAATGCTGCAGCTATCAATCATTTGATGACCAATGAATAACTCTGAACTGAAAATACCTACATCACAGTGCTCCCACTGGCAAACGTATCCGTCTGATCCTTCGGGAACCAGGTTGTTGCTGTGCAAGCCTTGGTTGCAGCTGGGCAGATCAGGACGGGACTTGAGCAGCTGTGACCCGACGAACTTGAGCTTACCATGGTAGTTGTGGAAGTAAGCATGGACCTCCAGCTCCGCAGGGCTACCCATGGATAGAAATTCACATCCATTCCAGAGACAAGCATACTCATCTGTACAAAGGGAGGGAAGGAGCAAATGTTGCAATGAAGAAAGAAAAGGTTAAAGAGATTTGACTGAGCTGGGCAACTCACTGAAAATGTACCTTTAACCAACTTAA